GTTCTGATTGTTTATTTTATTTCCTGGGCAGAGAAGTAAGAAGACAACTAAGGCAGGGGAGTGTTGTACGGCAGGTTTCGATGCATAAAACGATATTTCTTTCACTGAGTGCGGCAGTGGCGACAACCGTCCAGGGAGCAGTTGGTGACGGTGGATTTTGCCTGTGTGGGCTGTGGGGGTTTTTTGGTTGGTTTTTTTTTTTTTTTTTTAAAGTGAGAAAGAATGAAGTCTCTGCAACCTGTGCTGCGGGAATAGGGGCGGAGGTAGGATAGCTAACTGCAGATCGGATTTGATATCGCCTAACATCCGTGATAGAGAACGGGGGAGGATGAAGAGAAGCCCGGCGCTGAAGCGCTGGGGAGGAGAAGCGCGGCTCCGCCGTGCTCCGCGTCCCTCCGCATCCCTCTCTCCCACAACGACTTCTCGCAGCAAGAACACCCAGAAACTTTCCCCCAGGGTTTTCGTGTCAGATCCAGCAGAAGAGAGCCCTGAAAGCCTTCCCTAGCACCCAGGCAGGAAAAGACAGTGATCCGAGGGGTCCCCCATGGCTCCGGCCCGGGGAGTGCGCCGGGCTCCCACCCCGCGGCCCCGGGCGGTGGGGGCGGCGGCTCTCACCCTCCCGCCGCCCTGTCCCCTCGGCGAGGTGGTGGGACACAGGGTGGGGGCCTTTCCTTCTGGCCTTGTCTCGAAACGGGTTCTTTCACCCGGTGTGCCAGAAGCCAATCCACACACAGAGTCGAGGTACTTGATATATCTCTACAGTTGTGCGCAGAAAGGGGTTGCTGCAATTATTGTGTGTGTGTATATATATATATATATATATATATTATTCTTTACCACAAGGCATAAGTGCAACACAGGCCCAATGCTTCGTAGTAAGGGCATGGAGGTGCCCATTCATTGATAAAAGCGTCAAAATCAGGCTATTTTAGTCACCGACCCTTTAAAACTGCCGAGAAGTAGTACAACTAATCCTTAACTCATTTTCAAAGTCCCCGTGTATGTGTTTGGAAAGAGACAAAGCGCGTATGCGCCCATTGGACAGAAGCATCTAAGTCATAACTATGTTTTTTAGGGTGCTGCGTGGGTCTGCCTCCCAGTGACCCCGAGAGCTGGAGGGCATCGCCTTCGTCCTGTGCGCCCCAGCGGGGCTCAGCGTGCGGGTACTGCGGATCGCCGGCTCCAGGAGTCAGGTTACGCAGCAACAGGAGCCTCCTCCGCGCGTTTTGTTGATTTTAATATCTCTCTCTCTTTTTTTTTAAAGGTTGAAATCATTAACCAGCCGGACCTCGGATACTGGAGGGTGGGCAAATAAAAAGAAGCTGCAGATCATTATTAAAAAAAAAACACAACAAAACACACACACACACACAGAAAACCAACCAACCAAACAAAAAAACCCCCAAACCCCCCAAAAAACAACACACAAAAAAACCCCAACAACAACCCCTCAACCACCCCAAAACAACAACAAAAACAAACAAACAAAACAAGCAAAAAACCAAAACAAATGCTTATTTGAGCGTCAAGGGTTGAAAGACACCGTGGAAATCACCCAAAAGCACGCGGCAGAAGGTCACAAGTGACGGGGAAGCTGCTTACTGAAGTGGGGAATAACCTTCTGCCCCACTCCCCACCGCTGGGCACGGCTTCAACCCAGGGGAGAACCGAACCACCAGACAGGAGCGGGCAATGATCCTCGGAGCCTGGTCAGGGTGTCCTGTCCAGGGCCGGGGCAGCCGCGGAGCCTGGAGTCTGCTATCTGCGTCCAGCAAAAAAGGCTGGAGCTCAAACCCGGCCTGTGAGCACCTGGCAGCCCTTCGCCAGGAGTTTCAGAGAAAGTAAAAAGAATCCCTCCTCACCCTTGAGAATTTTGGGGTGCCCCTTCCCCACGGGACACATCTGATCTATTGCAAAGGGCACGTTCGCTATGCCCGCCCCCGTCCTTGCTGTGGTGTGTACAGGACGCTGCTGCTTTGGGGGTCAATTTGATTAACCACTACCCTGAGCTCCACAGGGCTGTCCCGCCCGGCCCGAGGTGGAGGTGATGGGTGATGTCAAAGGCCCCTATTCCTCTGAAATGCCTCCCGCGGTGCCTGCGGCGAGAGCGGGAGCCCTGCCCGGAGCCGGCCGGCCGGCAGCTCCCCGCTGAGCTGGGCGCGCCTGAGCGCTGCCGGTGCCCCGATCGATAAGTCCGCTTCAATGTCACAGCGGCTGCGAAATGGAAACACTCCGTATCGTGGGGTGGCCTTGATAAAAGTATATTTTAAGTAGTGCGGATAAGGGAAGGGGAGAAGAGAGGCGGAGAGGTGCCGGCACGTCGCCCGTAATAACCGCTGCGCTTATCAGCCCGGCCTAAACTCCCCAGCAGTTTCTAAAGTACATTAAGTTACATAAACATGTCTCGGAAAAGAATACACTCCAACCTGCGATAGTCACCGAGGTGACCCCTCGTACCGCCTCACACCCGAACCCGCCGGGCCCCCACGGTCGCAACACCGCGAGAGCATCGCGGCCTGACACGGCGGGCGATGCCCGCTGCTCCCGGGGCTGCCCTGACCGAGGGGCGGCGGGGATGCGGCCGGACCGAGTCTGCCCCTCCTCCCTAGTGCATCCCTGCAAAGGGATCACGTTTGCAGAGACCCGGGAGTGGGGAAAGGAGCTACTGCTCTGCACTTGCACATGTCTTTCCCCCAGCCCTTTTTTGGGAGGCTGAAGTGCCCACGAGGGAATTTGCCTTAATTGGATACGAAACTCTCTTTTTTTTCCCCCAATCTGCTTTCTTCCCTCTTTGGCCACAACGATCAGGAGCGACGGTTACCTTGCTGGCACCACCTCCCCAGCGGCGTCTTCCCACAGCGAGCATCCCCCCGGCCGCAAAAATGCTCCCGCACAAGCACCCCCGGGTGCCTAACCCAGGCCCGGGGCAGGAGATACCTGAAAACCTCCCGGAGCCCCGGGGCGAAAGTTACGTCAGAAGAGTGGGATTTGGGAAAGGAGTGACGTAATTAAGAGTTAGGAACCGGAGACTATATTTGAGCGGTTCGAGAGCAAACCCAAAACAGAGAGGAAAGGGGTGACTGGAAACGGTTTCCCACGCTGGTCCCAGTGTAAGCTGGGTTTTCTTATCGTATCTGTCGGAGGAAATAAAATGAAACTTGTAGCCCGGCTATAAGGTAAACAGGGTAATCGGCAGTAAAAAAAAAGGAAAAGAAAAAAAAAAACCAAGGCGCCTGAAGTGTAAAACACGGGTCACTTTGGAGTCAGGGAAAGAGGCGCCTGCCAGGCCAGCGCGGCCGTTCTTCTTCACAGCCACCTTCAACTTTCGGGCAGATACCCCCCGGCCCGGGCAGGTTCCCACTCCCTACCCTGGGGTTACATGGGCACCGGCGTGTGCCGCTCGCTTGAAAAAGCCCTCACGGTATTTCTCGCATTATATGCACCGTTACATGTGTTTGAAATACTCTCGGGTTTAAATGGAAAAGAGGTATCCAAATGACTGAAAGGAAATGCGGAGTTTAAAGCCGATAGCTCGGCACTTTTCAGCACACAAATTTGCAGTGGCAGCACCCAAGCTGGGGAGAAGCGGCGTGGGCATCAATTCCCTTGTCCCTTCTTGTCGCACATTTGCAGGTAAAAACCATGGGAAAACGTTTTACGTTGCAAGTTGGGATCAGAAAACGAGTCGGGCGATGGCAGACAACAAATCCCTGCCCACGATTGCAAAAGCTTATTTTCTATTTAATATTGAACCCACTAAAATACACCTAAAAATAAAAAGAAATCACTTCAACCTGGCAGGGTGACCGATATTATTTAACGATATTATTTAGAGACAACTGACAAGAAGGAAGTATAACCTTTAATCGTACAATGTAATAGAGAAACGGTTTATCGAGAAATTGTTTTCCGACCAAACGTCTGCCGCGCTATACGACAAAAATTAACGCGCATAATAAAACTTCCAAGTCACAATCGGTTCACCCACGCCGGCAGACCGGATGGCTACAGTCAGAGTTTTACCGTACCCCCAGCACTGCAAATTCTTCACCTCCCGTTCACCTTGCCTGGAAAGACCGAAAGAAAAGCTGTGCCTACCCCAGGAACGACAGCACCGCGCATCAGCAGGTTTGGGCTCGGTTTCTGTCGGGAGGGCTCATGCCTGCCGGTTGCCGAGAGCTGGGCTCTGCTCTAGTCCAGCCTTTTGCCGCCGATGACTTTTTCTGTACAAACTGATGATGACAGATATCCAACTGATAACCTCTGGTGAACGAAGTTATTTTAATTTCCAGTCACTTTCCTGCTAAGTACCATATCAGTTTGTACACAGCTGAGATAAGAGGGCTGGGGGGGGGATAAGAAAGAAACGGAGGGAAAATGCCTACCGCCAGCTGCTGGGATGGACACATCCCACAGCTTGCTTTGGCTTCACCTGACGGTTGGGGCAACTCAAGGAGGAGCCACATTTTTTACCCTCGGATAGCTCTTATTTTAACGAGCAAAAATAGGGAGATTTGGGGGAGGGAAACCTGGTTGCTTAGGGCGAGAGCCAGGCACACATCCTTCCGGGCCGCTGCCAGGGGATGCTCGCTGCGATGCCGGGAGGCGCGAAGAAAAAACAAACAAACAAACAAAAAGCTGAATATTCACCATAAAGAAGACATTATCCGGGGAGGAGGGAAGAGTGTGTATTATTTCTGGTTAGAAAAAAAAAAAAGGAAGATAAAAGACTGTGGCATCTGGAAAGGCAGTCCCCCCTCTGCTACTTCCCGCTCCCCAAGGAGGGGTCCGTAGTCCCGTAGCTGCGGGCACCCCACCCCCGGGATTGAGGCACGGCGGGCCGGCTGGTCGCCGGGACTGGCACCCCTGCGGAGCCCCGTGTTTGTTTAGGGCTGGCCGAGCCCAATCAGGGCCGGCTGCCTGCAGTTTTCCGGCAGGGCTGCGAGAGGCGCCTCCTCTCTCCTTTTTATACATGAGCCGGCGGCCGCCGCCGCCGGACTCGTCGCCACCGCTCACCCTCGGCGCACTGGATTTACCGCCCGCCGCGGCCCCGCGCCTCGGCCCCATGCGGGGCATCGGCACCAGGTTTGGCCCCCTTCTCTTTCTTGCCTCGCCGCGATTTCTCTTGTTCTTCCTCGCTCTTCTGCTCCTGCCTCTCCGCCCTCGGCCGCTCTGAGGGCAGCGCGGCAGCGGCTGCGCCTGGCTGGGGGAGCCCGAGGGAGACTGTGTGGGCAAACATCCGATGCCGGTGCCTGGAGCCCTTATCTGCCGGAGCCTTATCTCCCAGTTACCTCGCAGGAGGGAGAGACGTTATTTGGTGCCTATCTGCGAGGGGGCTCTGTGTGTGTCCTGTATTCTTGTGCCTATGGCTATCTGAAGAGCCCCGAGGTGGGCTGAGAGCGGAGAGCCTCACCGCCCGCTTCTCTTGCTGTCACTTCTCCGCGTCCCCTTTCACTTTCTGCCCCTTCTCCCTGAGGCTGGGCACCGGACGCTCTGTGTCCATCTGTCTGTCCGGCCTCTCTCATGCCGGCGGCTCCGAACTGAGCCGGTCGACTCGGGAAGGGTGTCAGCCTCTAGAGTTGTGCTCGGACTCGAGGCAGGCCCTCAGCCAGGACTGTCCGCTGGCACCAGCCTCTGCGGCAGGCACATCCCACCCGGCCCGGCCCCTTCCCCGGTCCGTGTCCCGTACCCTCCGCGCACACTTCGGCCCCTGGCCGTGCGCATCTCCCGTTTCACGGGTGCCTTTCCCTCCTCCTTCTCCTCCTTTCCGTGACCTTGGGCTGGAAATAAGCAAACAAGCGAGGCGATGCGCGGAAAAGCTAACATTGCTCTCCAGAGAAGTAACCTTAAAGGGATCGCCTTACTAATTGTTTTCTCGGTGGAACCGAGTCAAATGACTCATTCATTGAAATAATCATAACAACGACAGCAGCCAAGGAAGGGGCTGCGGCACAGACAGGGAAAAATGTCCCTCGCCCCCCTCTCTCCCCACGCCCTCCCGCCCACCTCTCCCCGGCGTGCTTCATGTTCAAATCCGCAGCCCGGGATGCGAAGGGAGAGGGGAGCAGCCCGCCGGCAGCGCGGGGAGCGGCGTCGGAGCCGCAGCCCTGGCCCTGCGGGACTGGCGACTCGCGGCCCGTGTTGACCTGGTCTGCCTGATCCCATACCGCCGGGGGGAGGGACAACAGCGCCGAGGCGACATGACTGATTAAGCGTTCAGAGGGTCCAGATAAGCCCTGATGAATCTCATTACGGGAGGGAGACGGGCTGTCCTGTTTGCAAACTTTGTTATTATTGTTTCTCTCTCCCCCCCTTCCCTGCTATTCTGTGTCCTCCTTCCCCGCCCTGCCCTGCGGACCCCCACCTCCACTCCTCCTCCTCCCCTCCTCCCCTTTCCCCATCCACACCCAGCGGCTAGAAGGGGACCTGGATGGCCGTGGCTGAAGGCGGCTGGTGCGCGGTGAAGCGGTGTGCTGCGGACGCCGGTGTTCCCTCCTGTCCCTTCGCCACCAGGGAGCCGCACCCGTCTCCTCCTTCGCCCTCCTCCTCCTCGTCCTCCTCCGGCTCCCAGGGTGAACGCGGCTCCTCCAAGACTCCTCGGCCGGAGACCGACGACAGCCACCGGCCGGCCCCGCCGCCGCCCCCCGCTGCCGAAGGCAGGTCTCTGCTCGCCCCCTACGTGCACTTCGGGGCCCCCCACCCCTCCGGCCGGCTCAGCTGGGAGGACATTCTGCTCTTTGCGGACTTAGACCAAACTAACAAGCTGATCTGGTCCAGCCGCGGCCCCAAGCTGAGCGCCCTCGGCGCCGAGCAACCCGAGGAGATGTACCAGACCCTCGCTATCTCGGCCGCCCAGGGCCCCACGCCTTACGACGGATCTCCGGGCGGCTTCATGCACTCCACGCCCAGCTCGCCCGTGTACGTACCCACGACCCGCGTGGGCTCCATGCTGCCCACGCTGCCATACCTGCAAGGCAGCGGGGCGGCCCAGCCCAGCCACCCGGGCGGCGGCCACGCCGTCTGGTCCCAGCCAGCCGCGGAAAGCCCCTCGTACAGCACCGGCGGCGGCTCCCACCCCTCGGGCCGCTTCCCCTATTCGCCCAGCCCGCCGGTGGCCAACGGGGCCTCCCGGGAGCCCGGTGCCTACAGCAACAGCCTGGGCGCCAGGGACCAGTACAGCCCCCTGGCCCGGCCGCTCAATGGCTCCTACCCGGGGCCCTACACGTCCTACGTGGGGCCGCAGCTCACCCCCGCCTGGCCCACGGCGTCCTTCGAGAACTCCATGCTGCACTGCCTCCAGGGCCGGGCCGCCCCCATTCCCGTCCGGGCACCCAGCGCAGGTAGGACCCGTTGCCGGGGGCGCGGGCAAGGGCGGGGCGGGGTAGGGTAGGGCAGGGAGGGTCGTCGCATGTCGGGGCTGCCCGCTGGAGTGGCCACGGGGGTGCCGGGGCGCGCGGGGTTCGCTGGCAAGATGGGACGGCGTGAGGCGGCCCTGGTGCCTGTGGCAGGATGGCAGTCCCGACACCATGGCTTTTTGGAGTGAAGGTAGCTGTCGTCGTTTGTGTTGGATTAGGGGGGAACACAGCCCCCCAAAGCGGCGTTGTTTGGAGTACGGCGATCGGGGTTACAAACCCAGAGATCCCAAAAGGAATTGCCCAGTTTAAACCTAGTTTTTAATTTTTCCAAACCCTTACGTTCCTCCTTTTCCTATATGTGGTTATCTGGCCGAGAAATGGTGACAAATTCACTGCAAACGTTTTTCTTGTAGCATAAACGAAAATTGGTAGGGCTCTCTTAACCCATTTTGGATTATTTCAACTACAAAATACTGCTTCGTTAAAAGAGAAAAGCAACAAAGCAAAAGCTCGGATATGAACTAGGAAATCTCGTTTATAAACTGCTGTTAAAATACAGCACCTCTTGATGGGGTTTTGCTTTCATTTCCGAGGTGTCCCGTCCTTACTTTTTATTTTAGTGTGGGAAGTTCTTGGAGTCATTAAATTAATTGTAGAAGTGGAGGCTGAGCTGCAATGATTTAGTCAGAGGTAGAAAGATTAACGATTATTGCAGTTTCTTTAGCTTTAGAATATATGTATGTATATATGAATAAAAGTGTATAGAGAGGTGTGTGTGGGTATGTATACATATTTTTATATATTATGCACATATATTATGTATATGTTTTTATATATATGTGTGTATGCATACACACGCGCATACACAGATTTGATCAGCACTCGCTTTAATCGTAAACTACCCACCAGGTGGGTATATTTTATAGACACCGTGATTTTCTTTCAGTGCAGTGTTGTGGATAATTACCCCATGGCTTTTTTATCTTTCTGTAGGGGTATACGTGATGCTCGTCTCTTCTCTCGATGACACCCGGTAGATTTAAGTATTTTAAGCTTCCCACTTGGTGTTTAATAACATAACAGAGAGAAGTAGTGGTGCTAAGAAAAGCCGGGTTTCAGGGTGACGGGGAAGTTGAGTTTTTAACTCAGTTTCCAAAGTTATAAAACTAGGCGATGAAGGAAAAATAAATCTGTTGGGGTTTTCGTTGTTGTTAGGTTTTTTGTTGATGTTTCTTTTTTTCCGGGAGAGACGTGGGGTTGGGGAATCTCGCGGAAGGGAGAGGAGAAGGATGAGTAAGAAGGAGCAGAGAAGGGAAGGAGCTGGGCGCTGGTGGAGGTTGGGGCAGGAGTGCCAAGCCAGCCGCGGAGGAGCACGCCAGCTTCCCCTGGTCCCGGGGGTCTCTCTCCTGCCCTTGTGCCTCCGTTCCCCAGTGCTGGGAACCGGTGGGGCACGGGCTAGCCAATTTTTCGATGAGGGAAGGACGGGTGTCAGTGGAGCCGCATCGCGGTGTAACGCGGGGCAAAGCAGTCCGCAGTTCCTGGGCCACACGAGTTTTCTGGTCCTGCAGTGCAAAACGCGCCAGCAAAGCCGAAGCCACGCGTGCTCCCTTTTCAGAATTGTAGGAAAATTGTCAGGGAAATTGTAGAGGAAATATATTTTTTACGGTTAACTATTAGACAGTTTGACAAAGCTTGTTTATTGTTACTCGTAGAGATATTAAAACAGTATCTAAAATTAAAACTTTATTTTGTTTTCTTTGAAGATAAATGTATTACGCGTTAAGAGAAAATTTTTTTTAAATGCCCGAGAATTATTGTCACGGCAGAATTTGTGTCTGGAGGCACGAAGGCAATGTTATAAAGTAAATAGCTGAGACAAATAACTGTTTAACTTCCAGCGTCCTTGAAGCCTTAAGCATTTTCCTGATTACAGTCTTCTGTGGCGCTTTTAGTGCAAAAATGTATTAATCTTAGCGATGTGCTAAGAGCTGCAAGCTGACAGTGTCAGTTGAACTGTGCTCTCTGGAGCAGTGCCGTGTGCCCGTTCCTCTTTAGCGCCTAATAATTTGCAAACGAAGGGAGGAGAGAAAAGTATTTGGGTGGGTGCGGGCCAAAAGGCCGTTTCTTTCCCAGCCGAATGCCCGCCGTGTCACCTCAGCCCTGTCTCCAAAGCTGCTCGAGGTTTATAAGCTCTTTTTCGCTATACAGCGAAACGTAAAAGAATAACCCGATGATGAATTAAGGCAGGTAGCGGAGGGAGAAAAAAAAAGAAAATCAATGATGAAGCTCTTGAGTCTGAAACAGACATTCCCAGCTTCGACTCGAAAGCTGCTGTAGAAATCCAAACTCTCCTTTTTTTATTTCTGCACAACGTGGCACCGTCCATGTAAAAACCGTGTTTATTCCGCCCTCCCCTCCCTGAAATATGGGGAGTTGAATCAGAACAGGGATTCGCAGGGTTGAAGGTGTTAGCTTTTATAGGTGGATTCTCTCCTTCCCCCTCCCCCCCCGTGCATTTAGACCTTATTTTCCTCTCAGTGTTCAGTAACTATGAAAGCAGGAGGCAGAATACCGCGTATTTGTCCATTTCCTCCGTTTCCTACCAATTAGCTCGAATTTGACCAAATAGCCGAGGCAAAGTGGTCGCTGCCCGTCGCTGCCTTGCCACACCAGAGCCCCAAACTCTGCCTCTAAACTTAAAGCTTTACTAGTTGCTTTACTAGAGGCATTTAAAATAAAAGTCGAGGTAAAAAAGTTCTTGCCTAGCTTCGACCCTGGGGAATTTTGGGCAAAACGACCACTCCTTATATCCGGCTCCCAGGGTGGCTCTGCAAGTGGGTATTCTGGCAGGCACCTAACTCCCCTCTCTGCTCCCCTCAAAAGCCAAGCGCACCTCCCTTTCCACCCGGTGGGCACCACGGAGGGGGTTTCGCCCCTCGAGCGGACCCCGGCCGGCTTTCCCAAGGGCCAGATCCCGACGTGAGTGCAAGGCGGGCCTGGAGTGACCGCTCCGGCGGGCCGGTGTCCCCCAGCCCGTCCCGGGGCGCACCGATTCCGCTGGGGTTCGGAAAGCAAAGGCTGCGCCGGGCCCGGTACATCTAAATAAATAGAAAAAAAAAAAAAGAAAAAGGGGGAAAAAAGGAAGGGATTTTGTAAAAAAATCACCGCATGTTCGCCGTCGCTGCCGGGGAATTGCTTTTCCGAGGGCTGAACAGCACCGTTTGCTTGCTCGCACGGGGCCAGTCCTTCGGCGCGGCGGGGCCGGGGCCGCGCTACGCGGGGCTCCGCTGGGCTCCACGCCCGCCTGCGACCGTGCCCCACCGCCTCTCCCTTCTGCCCCCCAGAGCTGCTGGAGGACCTGTCCGAGAGCCGGGAGTGCGTCAACTGCGGCTCCATCCAGACCCCACTGTGGAGGAGAGATGGCACCGGCAACTACCTGTGCAATGCCTGCGGGCTCTACACCAAAATGAACGGCCTCAGCCGGCCCCTCATCAAGCCCCAAAAGAGAGTGGTGAGTGGGGAGGGAGGGGAGGAGGTGGGCGAGAGGAGCTGTTCCCCAAGGAACCCCCAGTGAGCGCTAGCCAGGGAGAAACTGGGGGCAAGGATGTGGGAGAGCAATCAGAGTGTATTAGCCCGGTGGTCTCCCCAGCTTCAAAACCGAGTGGGGCTCCTGACCAGTTTTGCAGGCGAAAGTGGTCACGATGAGGAGCAAAAGGGCTGGCAACCCTCTGCGAACCGTTTCGGACCCACCTTCAGGCCTCGCGCTGGCGAAATCGCCCTCTGCCTCCCCAGTAAGCTCCACACGGGGCATGGGCCAGCCTGGCTTTTTGAGCTATGAATCCCATCAGTGAGGGGGGCTTCAGTGGCTTGGAAGAAATTTGTGCTGGTGATGTTGGGCATTTCCAAAAGAAAAAAAATCAAGGTTGGAAAGTGTTTGTTCAGAAGGCTAGGAATTTCTCCAGACCTGCTTTGTTTGCTGACAGCTCGATCCTTGGGAATGTAAGCAAGTTTTGTATATAATTCAAAGAAAACCAATTGTTTAAACAATGATAATAGCCTTTGTTTTGTTTTACTCCTAAGAAATGAGCGACAATTTTTCTAAAAATATACTCATAAAACTAGGGGGGGAAATAAATAGTACAAACCAGAACCCCTGTTTATAACTCAGGCTGGCACTGAATAGGCAAGGAGAAAATTTAACAAGCGGGAACTGCACATTTATGTTTAGCAAATCTGGGTGGAGGTCAGCATTGAGAAAGAATATGCTCTTCAGTAATGGCTGTTACCGAGCGAGCCACAATAAATCACACCGGTATAATCCAAGCTGATGTTTGGACCCCTGTGTATGGAGACAGTGTATCAAACCCATCAGCCTTTCAAGCGCCTTTCAGTCACGCCAACTGCTTCGCTCCGTGACTATATTCCTTGTGTTACAACGTCTACCGCTCTTTATTTCACAACCGTTTGAATTTAGGGTCCTTACAGGAACGAGGGGAAAAAAAAACGCACGGTGATCCGAGCAGACAGTAAGCACTCGAGAATCAAACCGCCCCTGCTTAAAGACCTTTTTTTAAGCCAAAGAGTTAATTTAAGCCAGACGTTAATTACTGCTAGGTGCCCGTTTTTTCTGTCTGGTCGTTCAGTAAATTTCATGACACAAGGTGTTATCACGAGCAACAAAGGCAGCGGCGGAGGGAACAGATCTGCTAATTATCTCACGCATCAGAGCCCCACTGTCTGTGGCACCCTGGCCCAAGGCAGATTTCAAGTAGCTGATACTCGGCTCTAGCATTTCTCTGTTTCTTCTTTTTCTCTTTTTTTTTTTTTTTTTTTTTTGAGGAGGAGGAGGAGGAGGGGTGGGGGTGAGGAGACTAAAGCAGAGTCAGACTACAGCCCGATTTCAGCCTGACACCTCAGCGAAATAACTCTGAAATAGCTCTGCGTAACAATCCCTACCGAGTACCCTGGCCATAACTATAAATCAACTGTGGAAATATGTAGGTGAGAAGAGAAAATGTTTTGAAAACGCTAAATATGTTTAGATTGCCCCGAAGTTTCTGATAAAATTCCTGCAGCAGAAAAGTCATTTTAGCTTCAAAACATGCCAAAATTCTCCTGTTTGTTTAGATACGGGAATAAGCTAAAGCTATTGAAATAAAATATAGGAAGATTTATACCAGGCTGCATAGGAAAGAGAAAGATTTAACAGAGTGAAACATCTGACAGCATTTCACTAGCAAAGAAAGAAAATGAAGCATATGTGTTTAAGACCAGCTTTCTTTTACTCGATGCACAAAAAACTCATATTGAATCAAGGGTGCGATTTGAACGCTGTGTGCATACGTATTTAATAGCGAGGTCAAAAATTTCATGAGACTTGGATTTTTAAGATTAAAAACTACATGTGTGTACTTCAGCCTATATTACACTTGGCTGGGTGGTTTGTTTTGTTTTTGTTTTCAGTGCAATTAATAATGGATTACTGATTCAAGACTACAAAATTTGTATTTAATCTGGAGCTCTTTAGGAGCTGTGGTGTAAAATGACGACTTACTGCTAGAGACACTCAAACAGATAAAAATAAAGAAACTCAGTTATTGCTCTGGAATATTCTTCGTTCTCAAAACATTTTTATCAGTTTCCCAAGTGGCAGGCAGATCTGCGGTATCAAAGGTGACCCAGTTACATCTAACAACCCAGCAGTAAATGATTCAAGAGGAAGGGCATTGTACCCTTGAGTTAGTAATTTCAGTTATAGATGCTTTATAGTCAGAATAAGATTAATGCAATCCTCTAAAACTGACTTCTCCATGTAAACTTGTTCAGCTGCCAGACACAGAGCTAGGCACAGATTTTTTTATATTTTTTTTTGACAATGCGATACTTTGAAAAAGACTAGATTTATGATGTAGTTGGAATTCTTTGCTTGTGATGAATGTAAAAGAGATCACTTGTTACAGGAACTTTTATAACCCATTCACCTTCATTTCACATGTTTATGAGGACTGCCTTCGCTTATGATATACAGTCTGCGGCCATAAAGCTCTAGGTTATACGGTTATTTCTGATACAAGATTGCTTCATCTTGGCTCCAAACTCCACGGAAGAGTGTCATAAATGGCTTGTTTGCCATGGGGACCTTGTTGTCACCCTCCAGTTTTTCTGCTGCCTGAGGGGAAGCTCTGCTCTGTAAAACATGCTCCCAAGGCACGTTGCTTTTTGTGTGAGGATAAAATGGGTGATGATAAAAAGATCTTTTTACAGAGATAATGCTATTGTACATGTTGCCCCTGGGATGCCCAGGAAAGTTTTTCCCAGCTGCAGTGCCACTGAAGGCAGGTGATTAAAGTGACTGATTTTTTCCAATGAGTTGGGAGTATCAGTGGCAGGATCAGAGCTACCTCTTCACCCATCACACAGGGGAGAGTGCACTGAACTGGCTGGAGAGGCGGCACAGGAGTGATGTGCCTTCTCCTCAGCTGGATGGAGCTATGCTGGAGATGTTTCCTAGCTGTCCTGCTGGAAGAAGAATCAATGCCTGGAGGTCTGAACACAGGTCTCTGGGTCAGCAGCTCCCAAATATGAATCGTGCCTCTGCTGTGACTGCCTGGGGTTGCAAACTCTCAGTACCTCTTCACATCAGCTTTCCACTCTCTGTAATGAGGATAATTCTGTTCTAATTCTGGGATGTTGCTGATAGATATGACAAAAAAATCTCATACCATGCCAGCATATGTTAAAGTACTTCTTATAAACCATAAAGACATAAACCATGTGCTCCTGCCTGCCTGTTCATGCACGTTTGCCTGTGCTTAACTCCAGCCTTCGTCGCGGCGGCTGGGCTTGTCCTGTGCCAACTGCCACACCACGACCACCACCCTGTGGCGCAGGAACGCGGAGGGTGAGCCCGTCTGCAACGCCTGCGGCCTCTACATGAAGCTCCACGGGGTAAGTGGCTGCTTTGCTGAGGGAAATTTCCTGCCAGGTCTGGTGCTCCTTTGGGGAAGGGGGGGGTCCTCCTGCTGGCAGATGCCTGGGGTCTTTGGGGGCTGGCACTAAGCATCCTCAAGTCGGGGGGGTGTTTCTGTTGATCCTATTGGTCTTGACCCGTGACTTGGACCATGGAGTTAAAAAACGATGCATAAAACAACTGAAAATTGTGTGACATTAGAAAATACTTATACCAGTTTAGCATGCTGTGCTTTTGACAAGTTACGTGTTTGCCACTATAGTCTCTCAACAGATTTTTATAAAGTAACGACCTCTGGATGAACAACAGAGGTCTTTTTGCCACTGGGATTTAAAACAGCTCTTCAGTGGGGAGAAAAACCCTAGACCTTTAATAAGACATTTTTTCATAGCTATGCCAACAAAACTTCAAATGTAATTCAAACGATAGCTATGCCAGCAAAACTTTAAATGCAATTTCAGCCTTTGCTAGGCAATAAAAGATGAAAAAAAAGCTCTATCCCGAATGTGATGGAGTACGTTTTAGGTGAGACCCCTGTGGATTGCGTTACGGTCAAGCAAAAAGTGTTTGAAGAGCTAGGGCGTTAGGAGTGATTGAGACGTGGTCTAGGCCTCAAGAAAAAAGTAAATTATGTCACTGGTTTAAACATTATAATGATAGTAAGCATGCACCTGAATTGCCTTTCCCCACACTGGTGTTGTCATTAAGTTAAAATATATTTTAAATCGATTTTTTCTGTATGATGATTATCATTGTGATGACACAGAACACGACAGTTATTTTTGAGCACATATAAATTTATCAGTATAAATATAAATTTGAAAACTATAAATCTGTATTGGGGCAGAACTGCTTATAAGAAAAATTACTAAGTTGATTATGGCCTAAAGGTTCCATCCTAAGATATTTACTGGTGATGATCTGGTTTGTGCAGCTGGTCCACAGGATGAGGAGTATTTTTTCTTCTCATATGCATTCTTCCTTTCCAGAATCAGGCACTGGAGATACTTCCTAACTGACTGGAATAAGGAATCAAGGATCAGATATACCCCATCCAGTTTAATTTCTTATGACCTATTCCCAAATGATGCTGGTTTTCCTTAAGTGTATGCTGTTTTTCTGTCTAGTTTACATCAAGAAGTTTCCCTACTTTTTTTATTCAGCTAAAACTTCCCTTGAATCAAACCATTGCTTTACCCAAATAAAATGCAAACTTTTTATAAAATCTGTACTGTGGAATAGGAAAAATTGAGTTGCTATAGAGGCATTTTCAAAGACTACACTTGGTCTTGTAGTGTATTTTGATTTTTGATATTAGGGTACATATACAACTCTATGATTGGTGTGGAAATTTAATTTTTTCAGGTTCCCCGACCTCTTGCTATGAAAAAAGAAGGAATTCAGACGAGGAAGCGAAAACCTAAGAACATAAATAAATCAAAGGCATGCTCTGGTAAATATAAAAAGATAAGGAAGTGTAGCAGCAATAGTTTATAGTTGTTTGGGGGTTTTTTGTTTATTTTCGGGGGTTTTGTTTCTTCCCTGGCTAGAAAATATTTCTTTTAATACCAATTCCCAATCTTTCAGGTAACAGTACTACTGCAGTTCCTATGACTCCAACATCCACATCTTCTACTAACTCAGATGACTGTAGCAAAACTGCCTCTCCCAGCGCACAGACTGCAGCCTCCGGGGTAAGTGTCTGTATCTGTAAGCAGGCTGATCACTGTGCAGTGTTATCACAGCTTTTATCTTATCTAGCAGAACAATAATCTAAATAAACTTTCCAGTTTTGTTAGCTGATACTGGAACAGGATTTTCAGAGGATAACACATATAGCTGTAAACAGAACGACAAGCTGAAGTACTTTACAAACCTCTTCATTAAGATCTATATAATTGTTATGATTAAGTTAGCCACAGCTTAACCCCAGACATTTTGTTTCGAGATGTTCAGGTTCTTTACTTTCAAAGGTTTTCTTTAGGAGGGAAGACAATAAATCATGCCCAGCCGATCCTTTCAAGAAACAATTGTGCATGTACCCCTTTTTTTCTGATACGATCTGATAAGAATTTATAGTTCAAGGCACTGCTGCTGATGTCATGTTTTTCAAAAGCGATTTCATATATATATATGCATTTTTATGCATTATCCCGAATACCTGGTAAACCCCAGCAAAATGTTGTCCTGCTGTATGAAGTGAATCATAAAAGCTTTTTTTAAAAACTAAAATGTGCGATTAAATCTCGATCCAGACCCAGCAGAAATCAGGCTGGAGTGCCCTGCTGATTGCAGTGTGCAGGGGTTCAGCCCTCTCCCCACAGGCAGCTCCTCAGGGGTCAGATGCTCAGCATCTGGCAACACTGAGCTCCAGAGCGGCACCAGAGGACTGCTGATCATCCCCTGCTTTAGTTTTTATTTTATGTCTTGTACTCCAACCGTCTCAAACTTCCTTTCTTCACTCAGCATGTGGAATAAATACTACTGCTAAAGTTGTGAAGCTTCATGTAGATTATTTTCTAACCCCTTGGCTAGACTTATCTGTATCCATTATCACTTCTCGGCCTTCTGTATCCCTTAATCTGCCACACAAATTCTTTGAAAAGGTTTCCTAATGTGGTTTTCTGTAGCTCTTTATTAATAAAATGAAGACATTGTTTATGATAACTATTTTTCAATGTCTTGGCGTTCCCAACATCCAAATTACTTTCAATAGTTTAATTTCTGATGAACAAAGTTTCATTGTACAAGGGGAAGAAAAAACCCATTTTTTAGTAAATGTGATTGTTTGTGGACTGACAGGGCCACCCAATTTCAGGGGCACTGGGTTTGGGGTTTGGATCCTATGAGACTAGGATATTACTAAAAGAGCTTGTCTTTGACATGAGAAAACCCTGTCAATCCAATAAAATAAACAGATCACATCAAAGAAAGAGAAAGACCAATTGAAAAGTGAACTGTTTCAGTTTCAGAATGAGTTTCAGACTTCCCCAATGAACTACTATGCACTATTTTAGGCTCTCCCCTAATATTTGCAAAGGAAAAAATGTAGCCAAATTTTCCTTAAATTTTCCTTACATTACCTTAAGTGGTACTAGTGACCCTGAGCAATATGCTGAGATTTATATAATGGGTAGAAAAGGAAGCACAATCCCAGCTGAGACCAAGGCAGCGGTGTAGGCTGGGGAAGGAGAGGCCATATAGATGAGATCCGATTTCCACTATGCTGTTGCCTTCTTGGCTGGCTAAAGCCTGACTTCCTTTCTGTAGTCCTTCTCCCTAGAAAAGTATATCAAACATGTTATTAATAATCTTTATGTTAGAATTGTAATAGTACCATTTTTAATATGATTCTGCTGCGTGGAGTTTTGTGGGTATCAGAAGAGAGTGAGTGGGGTCATGGTTTGTGAGCCAAAAGACTCCTTGAGAGCTGTTAGCAACTAAGAGCAACTCCCAGGGACCCTGAGGCTGCTCTTAGTTGTGTGATGGCATCCTCAGTGCCAGGACTTCAGTTCTTCCTGATTTTTCCATAGTAGATCAGGCTGGGAGAGGACACCAGCACAACAGCTGGGGAAATCTGTCCCCTTATATCCAACAGGCAGGACAGTAAAACCTGCACAGGTTTTTCCTCACCATGATTTGATCAGATGTGCCTTGCATATGCAAAGCATTTACAAATACCCTCCCCGTTGCGAAAAATTTCAATGAAAGGAAGTAATGGAGAGAGACTATGACATGCTGAAGAGAGGAATTTGCAGCAGCAACCCAATATATGGGCATCCCCTGACTCCCTCCCAAACTATGTGAAGGGCTATTGATCTCCCACCCCTCCACCCCAGCCCCGTAACTATGTAAATGAAGATGTCACATTCTTCACTTGAGCTCCTGGCTTTGTCCAGGAATCTGTAATTCAAAGCACTGAGGACTGGGGAGACTGGAGGTTGAAATTAGAAGGAGGTGGCTGTTAAGACTGGATCCTGTTGCCCCAGACATAATTTGCCTGCAAAGGATGCAAAATAATTTCTTAGGGACCTAAATCCCATGAAAGGGACTGATCACTCATAAAGCCCATTGAAATTGTCATGAGTAAAGGGGTGTCAGCATTTTAGAGTGAGGCAGCCTGTAATCTGATCACATGCTGAAGTAAAGATACTCTACTAGACTTCTATTTTCCTTGATTATTTTTATTTTTCCCTTTTGAGTTGATCCATCGATAGGTCAAAGGTTTGTAATTATTCCTAGAATAAGCAATGGCTTTGCACAAGGAGAATAAACTTCTCCAGGTTATGTCAGGAGGGAAAAAACCCTCAGATGGATGAATCCAGTCTCTATAATCTTTAACAAGACCAGCATTGATTCCAGTTACTGGTCCTGGTGACATTGCCGAAACACGGGCACCTGCTGGAAGAGCGAACCTGGCTCATTCTCCACATGTTACACAACAGGCATGGCAACTTGTTTTTGCTTTGCTCTGTTTTCACTTCTCCAGCCTTTATTCTGTGAAGAGGGGAAAAATGCCAAATTGACATTAGACAGAGAAATCTGATGACATTTTAGAAACTGTTGTGTGAAATTCACAGCAATATCGTTGCTAAATGAAACAGAGAAAATGAATTCCTCTACTGGTACAAAAGCAATTTATTATGCCTTTTATGGGAGGCTGCCAAAAAAGTTTCCAGTTATGTAGAAATCTAATGGAAATGAAATTCAGCAGAATTCATTTGTGTCAGTAACATTCACTTTTTGCCCTACCTTTCTTAATCTCTGTTAAAGTAAAATAAAGAAGGGAGGGCAGAAAAAGAGAAGGCCAGCAATTACTCTTGGCAATGTCTTTGAGACTATCCATTTCATGAAGGGAATATTACATGATGCCAATTTTGAGACAAATTAACAAGAACCTTAAATGTTGATTTTACGTTCCAGTTGAAGTTTAAACATTTAAAAGATATGATTAATGAATTTTTGTGAGGGCAAAGTTGATATCAAACATCCAAAAGTGTAGAAGTGTTTGGATCGGAGACATTTTGTTGTCCCATTGTAAAGTTACTATTTGCCAAATTCACATCTGGATCTAGGATTTAGGCCCATTTCTGTTTTCCTAAGAAGTATAAGTACTGGGTGTCCTGTGTTACTAATATGGAAAGGGTCCAGCTGCATGATATATGAAGTTGCCTTCTATCCCTGTAAAAAGAAGATTTGAAGGTTTTAGACAGTCTGCATCTGCATCTATACCTGGTCTCCCTTTGATGCTGCTGAAACTGTACAGAGAAAAGCTCCACCAAATAAGTTACTAAACAAAGGACATGGTCTGTAGTGCAAACCTGTCCATTTCCATGCAGGAGCTCCAACAACTGTGATAACCAGAAGGACTTTACTCCCTTATTAGGATAAAAGGCAGTATGAAACCTGCTGTAAAATCTGCTTTTTATGGCAGGACATGGAGGCTCCTTGAGCCAGGCCTGATGTGAGGAAAGGCTCAGCAGCACCAGGGGAGCTCTTCGTTGAGAAGTCTTTCCTGTGTCCTTGCCTCCAGTTTGGAGGTTTCTCAGAAGGACCATAATCACACACCACAGAATAACATGGGAGGTAAAACAAGTGCTTACTTCCCTTGGAGGTTTACTCGACCTCCAAGACCAAAGAGGATTGGCTCTTTGGTGTTTTAGGGTGGGAAGTAAGAGAGCTGACTGAGATGGCCTCGGCAGGTGGTGAGCTAGTAGGAAAATGCAGTTTTAACTGTCCCCAAAATGCCAAACAGATGGGGCTGGATTATCTGGACAACTTCTCCTGCATTTGCTTTCTTTTGTTTTCAGAAGAAGATTCGTGATCTGGTTAGAGGTGGTATTGTTAACTCCTGTTTAGGCAGCAAGTGGGTAGGATGTTCATGCAGGGGAATCAGGCTCCATACAGTATGTCCCAGAGTCTGGATGAACCAGAGACTCGATCTCTTAAAACAATGTACTAGCCATCCAGATATTGGGAAGTTGAATGTCCAGGGGCTCTTCAGATTATCTGATGATAAGATTTCAGTTGTTATAGAATAATTTTGTAGCCGTTGAGACAGTTGCAACGAGAAGACTCATCAGCATGGTTGGTGGAACTTTCATCTAGAAAATGGGAACACGGTGCCTCAGTCCTGGTATGAGTAAATATTTATCTAAACCAGGTGGAATAAGATCGAGAGGAGGTATGAGGAACATGGCAACCATACCAAATAGTGTGGTAGACAGAGCATTGTGGGACATCTGACACTCTCATTTAAATCTTTCTTAGTCTCCTACCTCTTCTGCATTAGTCCTCACTCCTGGACAAAATGGGAAGCTACTTTATTCCCCCCCAGTTTCATACATGGAGTCATTAATTTTCTTTGCTCTGTGTACTTGTATCCAAAAGAGAGCATTTAATTTTGGTATGAAACAGAAGGAAGCAATCCATCTTTTTTGTTTCAGTAGGGAAAACCAAGGAAAAAGTATTTTTGCTTCTACACCAAAATTCTGTATGCATATGGACACATACCTTTTGCTTGGTTTTGTTTTATTGCCAAAGCAATAAAGTCAGTTACTCATACAGCCCTTGACAGCAGTGGGGTCATCAGTTTTCCAAGCCATGCTGGAAGTTGCCTCCCTTAGGAAATTAATGAAGTATTAACCACAGATTTATGTTGCTATAATACAAAGGAGAGATTAGAAGATATGTAAACTTACACGTCTGCAGTATAAACAAAAGGATCAATTGGACTAATGAGAAATGACAATTTTGTGTACTAAGACGATCGTTACATGAGAAAAAAAAGCCGTCATTTTGCAGTGCTGAGACTTGCTCTTCATAAACCAGGGAGTGACAGTATTGGGAAAATGTGCTCCTGATGAGGATGGCAGTTATTGCAGGGAGGCTGAGGCTGGAAAATTAAGAACTCCACTGTTTGGCACAGCACCTTATATGTGAAAGCAGTCTTTGCAAATGTGTTTTGGCTGACTGTGGTTATCATTTAAGTGTAGCAAAACTAAACTAGGCTAACTGAGGAGGAAGAGAGTCTCAGCTGAGACTCTGCTTATTACAGACTTAGTGTAATGTCCAAAATTCATGGAGCATTTTGAACCTGTGAAATGGATAGAGCAAAGGTCTATCTGGTAGCGCAAAGGTCTGGATCAAGGCCCTTCACCACCCCCTCCAGCTGTCCTTGCCCAGAGCATTTCCCTCTTGCCTGCGGAGGTGTGGGAGAAGGCCAGGGGGAAAAGAGTCCCTCTTCTCTCCCTACTTTCTGTGGTGGGCAGATGGTGCAGGAAGGAGCAGATGGAAGAAAGCAGGAGTCTTTCAACCAGAGCTGCTGATGCTGACCAGCACAGGCTGAGCAGCCTGGTTTTGATCTGGAGCAGCTTCAGTGGGGATTAATTCGGCTCCAAGGTGCTGACAGCAAGTTTGGGTACGATCTAGGTGTCTGAATCCCTCTGTGGCTCTGGCAGAAGTCTCCCTGTGCACATGGTGGGCAGGTCCTCTACAGAAAGGCCACCTCTGATCTGGACAACCTACCGGGGGAATGACTCCTGACCAGCTCCTGCTGGTTGGGTAAAAAGAAGAACCTCTGCAGATACAAACATAACCTTCCAGTTTATTTGGGAGGCAGTGTCTTCCCAATGGGCTTCATTTTTTTTTCCTCAGGAAGCTGACCGTCAATTGATTACCTATTCTGTTGCCAGATTTCAACAATGAAAATAAATGCATTACCTTTTTACTGATAGAGCCAGTTGTTGTGAATTAGATCTTGTTGACTTCAGCAGCATTGTTCAGTTTATTTATTCCAGGTGACAAATGTCCTCTAATAACTAAGTGCAACTTCTGTCATCTTCCATCCCCTAAAGCTGGAGAAGTAAAAGCAGAGGTAGGAAGGCTCAGGAACAGACCCATGATTCAGTCACGTCCCTTTTCATGAGCTAAAGTTTGTTTTCCATGTCTCACTTTGGGAGCTGCCCAAGTTGCCTGGATTTGTCATGACATTACTGGGGTGGGGTTTCCAGGCCCGGCAGTCCTGCCCAGGTCCTGCCCGTTCTGGCTCAACAGAGCCAGGATCCGGCCTTGGTTGGGCAGGGAGGGCAGTCTTCAAACAGGACGTGCCTCCATGTCCTCCCTTCTGGGGTGCCCGAGGGAGGGGTACCTGATAACCCCACGTGGAAACTGTGGGTCCACGCACTCCACCTTTGTAGGGCTGAATCAGGAAAAGAGTGAATTACGCTTTGCAAGCCTGGAAAAAAACAGGTAGTGATCAGGTATTTGCCTACCGGAACAACAGTGGCAAATATGGGCAAACGAGAACCTTTCAAAGCAGTTCTTAAGTATTTTTAGCTCAAGTTGAGCAAACACTGCTCAACACGAATTTAAATCCTTCTTCCATGGTGGGGAGATGACTCTGAAGCTGTTAACAATTATGCATTTTGTGCTGACAGAACTCTAGTTGTTGTATTAGAAATTAAAAAAAAGGCTTTGGAAAGCTAGGCTGATGCAAGACCAAAACCAGGCAAAAAGGATGACATGGAACCTGCCGCATTGAATTCTCCATGCACAGTCACAGGGAAAGTGGATACAGAGATTCATCGTCATTGGTTGGCACTTGTATATTTGAGAGAGCGATAAAACATATTTCTTAGAGCTATTTGGCTGGTTTGGGGGGACAGGCAGTTTTTCCTTCCTTCTCTGTGTTTCTGGGTAGTGACTAATGGAGTGGGATCGGGGTTGATGTCTGGGTGGAAGAGTAGTGGCTGTCAGTCATTTTAATGAAAGCTAAAGAAAATATTGCAGTCTGTGTTATTTCAGAAAAAAATGACAGCTAACAGTGAGAATCTCTTTCAGAAGGTGAGGTTTTCCTTGGGTTAAGCATGGCAAAAAGAACCCTGCACTGCACCATTTAGAAATTACCCTTGAATAAATGAAGCCTTGCTTTTCCTGTGTCAGGGCTGCTAGCTTGGCACAGCTCCAGGAGAGCCAAGAGCTCTACTCTTGTAAAATGATTAAATATGTATACTTTTCACTTAAACAGCAGGCAGGAAGCTTCTGCAGTCACAGTTTAGGATAGCCTTTTTTTTTTTTTTTTTTAAGGAATTTCATCCGAAGGCTATCCATTAACAAGTAAATTAAGGTTTTAAAGTTGACATATCCAAGGGTTAATTTTGCATGAAGTCAGCTCTTAAACATTTCCTTTATCAGGTGAAAATGTTGCCCCTTTTCTGTCTGGCACAGTGAATTTTTCCTCTTTAGTAGATCTGCTCAGCCTCATGGAAAAAATGATTGTTCCTTTGTCTTTGTAACTCTCCATTTCTCTGTTAAAATAAATGGACTGGTTCCAGTGCGGTTCAGAGGTTCATCTTTGTGCCTACCAGGGCTCCCCTGCATGTTATCTTGTATAGGCAGTGGAACAAAAAGGCTCCTGCTTCAAAGGCATAGTGTTTCTCCACCGGAGATTAAAGAGCATCTCCTTTAGTGTCCAGGAATGAAGTGGTTGTGGCTAGCATTTTGAAGGGTGAGGAATGATTTTAGGCATTTCAGGGTCTGAGGGACCCAAAGAAGGCTGATTTCCAGGAGGTGTTTCATATCTACTGCTGGAGAATTGGGATGTATCAGGCTTCTCCAATTGTGGAAGAAAATCTATAGGTGCCACCACTCCCAGATCACATTTTTGGTGTTGTCACTTATGTCTTTTCAGTAGGGGGCAGCGGGACACACACACACACTTGCTTCTTCACCATGGTCTGATTTCCAGGTTTTTGTGCGCATCACATGCTTTCTTTTCCACCTCTCCAAACGCAGATAACTCTCCCATCAACAGGGTACGGTGACTGGGCTGATGCTGAGACATGGTTTTTTTCAGGATTTGGAGGCACAGGGGCAAGCAGAGGGCAAACTCTGTTTTTCTGCAGAAATCCTGGGATAATGGCTGTGCCCTGGGCCTGCTGTGCTCTGCACCCAGTGTGTGCAAAGCTCACCTGCTCAATGCCTCTCTCTTTGTTCTCTCCCTCCCTCCAGGCGAGCTCGTCAGTGATGTCTGGCCCAGGAGAGAGCACCAGTCCCGAAAGCAGCAACCTTAAGTATTCAGGTCAAGATGGGCTGTACACAGGAGTCAGCCTGACCTCCACGGCCGAAGTGACAGCATCTGTGAGACAGGATCCCTGGTGTGCCCTGGCTCTGGCATGACCCGGTGTGAGGGAAGCTGGATCCTGGTGCTGCACGGCAGCCCCCAGACGTCCACACACAGTTTCTCCTGTGGAGCGGTTGCAGCAGAAGCAAGAGTGCTGGCAAAGACCATTCCTGAAACAGTTTTTGAGCCTTGGGGGCAGAGGTGTTTTTCAGCCTCTGAAAGAGGCTCTGCCAAAGCATCCAGTTCCTCATCTATGCAAGAAAAATATAGGGAAAGCAAATGACCACCGGGGATAGCTAATGCAGCCTTACAATCTCAAAAAAACCCTCAAAACCCCCAAAACAAATAAAAAAAAAAAAGAAAAAAAAAGAAAAAGAAAAAAACATATAAACCTAAGACCTATTGACAGGTTCCAGAAATACATCTTCAACTTACCCAGCAGCGCTGCCTTTCTGATTGCATAGTTGTTTTCACTCTCTCATCACCTTTTCCCCTAAGAATTTGGTGGAAGCCATCATTGTCGGGGAGGAAGTAGCAAAGACTTTAATTACCAGAGATAGTGAGATACTTTTTAATGAGTGACAGAAGTGCGTGTGGCTTGAGTCGGCACAGACTTCTTGCACTGAACATTTGATATCTTTGCCCCGTCAGACCTCTTCCCTCCTTTGCCCTCCGTCTTCAGTGTGCCTTGCTCTGCTCCTCAGAGCCCAGCTATGCCCCTGGAAGAAATCACGTTTGGTACAAGTCCCACAAGGTCCAGCTGGTTAAGGAGATTTCGGGGTTTGTTTTTTTCCTGGTTTAAGATATTTACTCACTTTGCAAGACTGCGATTTAACTTTTAAAATACACTGTGACTGAGATTTATGAAAGTTCATATTTTCTGGCTGAACTGTATAGAGTCAGTCGAAATTTGTAAACAGGGTAGCAATCAGATATTTTTCTTCCATATATACAATAATTTTTTAAAAGAAGTGCAATTTGCGTTGCAGCAATCAGTGTTAAATCATTTGCATAAGATTTAACAACGGTTTTTATACGAATGAATGTAAACATTTTAACTTAATGGTACGTAAGTAATTTAAAAGAAAAACTTAACTAGGCATCCTTAGGCTTTTTAGCTCAACAAAAATGCATCCACTTTCTGTATTTCCAGTTGTTAAAGCAAGAGTTTCAAAGAACAAGCCTTCTCTCAGGAAAATTGCCCTAGCCACTTGCTCAAAAGTGTTGTACAAAAATGCAAATGCATCCCCAAGGCTTTTTTTGCCATTGAATAACTGTGTGCTGGAAAGAAACAAATTGCAATGAACCTTTACTACCTAACTGATATATTTGTAAATACTACAGAAGATATCTTGAAGGCATCTTGAAAATGTAGGATGCAATCTGTATAGTGTGACTGACATATAGTTAGGTTGGTTTCCATTGGTTTTTAAGTGGGATGTCATTTGGAAAGTTGTTTCATCAGAGCTTTAAAAATAAAAGGGTATCATTTTGAGATTTTTTTTTTCCTGTACAGTGTACCTTCTCCTTTGTCTCTGACACAATTGTTAAGCTATGCTAAAAGCTATGGAAATGTACCTGATACAGGCGGCATGTCTGATGGCTGCCCAGAGGTCTCCAGCTGAAGTGCCTGCTCTGTCTATCTAAGTCTGCATCGTGTGTGGCTTTTCTGCAGCTTCCCTCAATATACCCTCTGATGATATGTAAAACTAAGGCCTTCACCTATGAATATAAGCTCGACATGGGCACACGTGATATTTTTCTGACGTCTGGGGAACTGAGCCCATGCCCTGTGAGGACTATCATGGTTTTTGTTGGCCTTCACACCATAGCTAAAGGGTCTACCCAGTGGTGAGTAGGCAAATACCAGAATGTCACCCACTACAGACACAACTGCTGAGTGGCAGAGCCTTTGTGTGCCTGCTGGCATCCTCCGGTGACCAAAGGTGAAGGGCACCAAAAAGTGATGGCACTGCTGCTGAAAAGAGAAAACAGTGAATTTTAGATACTGAGGGAAGTGGAAAACCTTTTGCTGGCTCTGAGGACTGGTCCTCTTTCTTCATTGCTCAGCTGACTGGAGCAAGACTTACTACCATGTATGACATTTTCAGCCACGTCACCAGTTCTGTTGGACTGGGAAGCTGGGATGCCCAACCTCCATACCCAGTGACCTGCAGTTTCTGCAATGCATCTTTTTGCCTCTCTGTGCCAGATCTTTTTTTTAGGTAAATTGTGGTAGGTCCTTGGCCTGTGGCGAAGCTGTGCAGACTTGCACCAGCCAAGAATCTGCCCCTTGGTTTTCAAACCTCACCATTGAGGTTACCTCCTTACCCCGAGGGTATTGTGAGGACCATGGAATGAATGATGCTGTACAGCCACAGCAGGAAAACAGCAAAAAGGAGTCAGGCCAAGCCTCACCTAGGGTTTAAGTTGCTGTGGCCAGCCAGGAGTGGGGATCACTCACCCTTCCTGGCGTGACCCTTGTGCCACACTTGGTACTGAGCTACCTGACATCCTTGCTGCCTGTGGGTTGATGTGGCCAGGTACCCCAGCCCTGCTAGCCCTGGGGCCTTGGATCTTGTGATTTACAAAAATAAATACCTATCTCAGTGCAAGGTGAGCCATGCAAAGAAACACTGGGTTTAAAAAGCAACAGATGTGGAGAAGACGGTGAATATCCTTCCTTTTAAAGCATTTATTGACTAAAATGCCCTTACTTGTGATTTTCCAGTAAGCTGCTGCTAAGTGGTGTTGCAGAGTGTTCAGCTTTATCTAGGGTCGGCATCCTTTTTTATTTCCCTTTTTCTTGCCAGGGTGAAATTTGGTGTGCCAATTCTGAAGAGCCTAGCACATAACTCATACTTGCTGGATATGTCAGAGCTGCGTTTCTTGGAGTTATCATAAAACAGGAGGTTTAGAGCAGCGTGTTCCAGTTTTGTGCTGCTGGTTGCTGAAGCTCTTGCTGGCAGCCTGTGGAAGGCCACGTTGCTTTGAAACCCTGTGGCACAATTTAAGAGCACTCCTAGGAGGCCCTGCTCCCTTCTCAGCACCACCTTGACCCAAGGTCTGTCTTAGGGTGGTTTCTACAGATAGTAAGTATTGCAGGGGACATATGAACCTTTCTCTTGGATCTGAGGATGAAAATGCTCTTTTAGGGGAAAAAAACCCATAGAAAACCCCCAGTATTTCATAGGGAAGGTATTTCCATTTTTTTTTCTATCAACAAATCAAGAACGGAATACTTTGCCTCCTTGGACCAGAAGCAATGCTGTCAGGTTTTCAAACCTCTGTAAGAGTAAAGGGGGATGCAGTACCATGTTGCCTTACTGTATAGGTGCTGAGGAGCTCAAAGCCAGGTGCCTTGTTATGATTTTACATAGAAAAAGATTGTAGGAAGAGTACATCCCTACTTACCAAAACTCCTCTCTAAGTGTACTGATTGCTGGAGCTGCTACTCCTAGATGAAATAAAAATTTCTTTTTTTTTTTTTTTTTTGCATTTTAGTCTTGCTGAGCTGGCATAGCTCTCTGAGTGTGTGAGCTGGACTTTGCTGTGGCTCATACATCATCAGTATCACTGCTTTTCTCTCTTATCCCCATTTCTCTTCAGTGACAGCCCTGGGGTGGGCTGAGAAAGAACAAAGAAAGAGTTTGACCATGAGTTTTGGTTCCTAGTGAGGCTGAACAAGCCAGATTGACCCCAGAGCATCTCTTTAGTACTGTCATGAAGCTTCAGAATTGACATTTGTGGGTGAAAAGAAGGCATATGTCTACTTGTCACTTTAGCACCTTTTCTCTGAAAACAGTAAAAATTAAATAGCCAGTGTCCCAAAGCATCTGCTTCAGGGTCCCCCACCAAACAATACTCGAAGGCTCAAATTTGCTTGGGTAGCCCCCCAGGATCAGACTGCTCCTGGCCACGTGTGTTACTCTGGCATCCAATATTCCCTAGGTCCTAGATTCTGTTTTAGTAGTCTTCCTGACACCCTCACTCATAATTTTTTTTTTCCTGTTCAAATTGCTTGAAATAAGTTGAAATCCCTACTGTGGTTCAGAGTGGTATTTTTCAGCATGGCATTGAGGGTGTATACTGCTGTGGTTTGAGTGCTTTAGAGGTGCTGGAGGGTGCAACAGCTGCTGGGTTTTGGTTGGTAAAGCAAAAAGAAGCAGCCTTGGATGCTGCCCAAAGGGAGTAATAGGTGCCTGTCTGTTTCTAGAACTGCAAGTGGACTTTTTTTCATGTGAATGATCAGCGGGCAAGGACCTGTGTGTGAAGTAAGGAACCAAACTAGCTGATTTGCTGTATAGAACTTGGGTAATATAGTGTCTGTTCCTGCACAAAAATAATGTAACTTCTGCTTCTAAGAGAAGAAGGGATTTAGGAGTAACACCCTGCCCCTGCTGTTGTGAGCCTTAGTTGAGCATAGGCTGCAGAAACCCAAAATGGACTTCAACCCTTCTGTGCGCTCTTCCTTTATCCAGCTGTCATGAACTTCATTCCTCACAGATCCTCCAGTTCCTAAGTCTGTATACACTGGACATTCCAGGGTTGTGTCAAACACACTGAATTCAGTATTAAAATATAGGGCAAGGGTTATTGCAGTGGGCCAGTGAGAAGGAAACTGAGGGCTTGAGGAGCAGTTTCATGTGCCTTCTGCTCCACATGTTGCAAAAGGCTTGAGGTCTTCACTGTGTATTTGTAATGTGTTTTGGAAACACTTCTTAATCTTTCCTTAAAGATATCTGATGGAAGTTGGTATCATATGTAGGAGAGGGGAGTAGAATTTCACAGAATCACAGAAACATTTAGGTTGGCAAAGACTTTCAAGATCATCAAGTCCAACCTTTGACCTATAAATTTAGGTGCCTGGGTGGATATGCAGTCAAACAAGAGTTGTCAAAGCGATGTTGTAACCAAAAGCGCTAATGTACCCCTTGAACAGAGAATCAGGAAAACAGTGAGTTGGAGTAAGGAGGTAATATTACTTTGGAATGCTGCATCCAGACCTGGCATCCACATTTGAAAAGGGTGTTTAAAAATTGGCAAAGGTAGGGAAAAGAATCACTGAAATGATTTATGAACTGGGGAAAATATCTAGTCTTGATAAATTCAAAGACCACGGTCTGCTTAGAATACCTAAAGAAAGACTAAAATGTGACTGGTGTAGTAAGTCTCTTCATGAAGAGAACATGATAGGTGCTAGGAGGCCTTTGACCTTGTAGAGAAAGACATGACAAGATCTAGTGGCCAGAAGGTGAAGCTGGATTAATTAAAATGATCATTTAGCTTCAGCTGAAACAGTGAACATAATTAGTGATGGGAGCGATAGCAAGGGAGGAAGACGAGTGCTCAATCTCTTGTTGCCATTGCAACAAAGCTGGCTGGAAGACCAGCTTTAGCTGACCAAAAGTGACTGGGGTCAGGACTGAGCGGGTTACATCTGCTGCATCATGATTTATAAGCTGTATTAGTTTCCATTTGGTCTGAAACCGTATTACTTTTTGGGATGAGACCCAATGCTGAGATCTTGAATTTTTGTTGTTATTAAAAAAACTATGGCATTCTTCCTGAGAGCCGTGGTAAACACTGTGGTGTTTTGACCCAGTTTCAGCATAAGTAATTATTTTTTTGCTTACCTAAAACGTCCTACTTCCTCTCCAAAACTGTCCCACATCTTTGTTGTTTCCTGTTAAATACAACCTGAGTTCTATAGAAGAAAAGGCCACATTTCAAAGTTGAACAAACGAGACATGAAATTCTGTCCTGTCTTATGGCATAGCACGCAGACAGGGGCTGCTAAACAGCCCCTGCTCTTGGAGAAGCAGGAAGGAAACCTTCTCTGAAGACTGCGGTCTGCAGGCCTTCAGTCTGTGACCTTTCGATGCTGTGAAGACCGCAGCCTGAAGAAGGAACAGAGGCATGTGGGTCATCTTACGAATGCAGCAATTTAAAAAAAAACCAGCGCGATGGGAGGTTTCTGTTAGCGCACTGAACCCCACTTGGGATCCAGATTCTACTTGTTCCTCTCATGGGAATAAATAACACTTAAAATAATGCTGCTTTTTGTGCCTTGCTTACAGAGGACCCAGTCTTGTGGCACGAGAGGGTGGGGATGAGCTTTGTCTGTTTCGCTGGTCATTCATCTGACCCCTTTGCAGTAGAGAGGAGTCCCAAACCGGCCAGGCAGATCCTGGTGAGCGTTCCCACTCTGAAGGGGTTTTGCATAAGCTTGGCAGACATGCCTCCCAGGAGTAGCCTTGCTGACAGGAGAGGGTGTGCGTGTTTGGCCAGGGGCCTGTGGAGGGGAGAGGGAAGGAGGCCTGATGGAGGGGAGGTGTGCTGTGCCTCAACTGCAGCATCATTAGGAGCTGCTCATGGGCAGCCTCTGCTCACTGTAATTCAAGGTACATGAGAACCAAGAAGCTGAAACTGGCCTTTTCTGAGCCTGGAAGGACTTCTGGCAAGCTGGGGACCCCCATCTTCTATGTGTGTGCGTGTGCGCGCGCACGTGTGTGTGTGCGTGTGCACGTGTCTACATTTTCTTAAAATTAGATCTTTTACTCTCTGTTTTTTTTCTACCATAATCCACTATTGCCTGTGATTGTTCCATTTTACCTGGATCAAAGTTTATTAAAAATAGTGCTGGGATGATGGGCCACCTCTAGATCAGTGACAGAGATGAGGTCTGGGCAGACCCACCTGTCCCAACACTCTGTACACCCGGCCTGGGGCACCTCTTTGACTTTTCATGAGTTGGACGAGAAATAAGGCATACCCTCTGTTCTTCACAGAGTTAAGGAAGTATGTCACAAGGTTCATTTAAGTTTATTTTATTTTAAACTATTAGGAACTTTTCAGCCCGAAACAGTCTCCCAAAGACAGCAATACTCCCTTCTTTATAAGAAGATGATGTCCTGTAGTTTCCAATAACTTTGACATATCTTTTTTTTTTTTTTCCAGATCAAGGTGAGAGCCTGGGTACTGGAAAATAGCATTACAATTTTAACAAAAGGGAGAAAAAATTGCTCAAAAGGCTGACCAATAAAATGTTTATTCTTTTCGCAACTACCAAGTGATACCTTCAAGGTATCACTCAGAATAGGCATGAAACAATTTTACTCTGTAAACTTCAGGAACTCTCAGAAAATTAAAAAAGGCAACTTCTCAGAAAGCATTGTTAGGATTAAATGTGCTCAAGGCAGAAGGAGGCAAAGGATGTCTTTAGAGCTCCCACTTTGTTACCCAGTCTTATGCTTTGCTCTGAGAAGTGATAAAATTCCTGGGACTAAATGAAAGCTTTGTATAAGCAGGAAATTCAGGAAAAACAGCTTGTTTTTCTAAGCCTCCATGATCAGTTTTCAGCGAAAGTAAGAGACTTTAAGCATAGATTCCAGCAGATTTGGGCTTTGTAAACAAGATACTGATGTCTTACCATTTCTCTGTGTCCAAGCTCACCAGGGAAGACATGGACAGGCACTGACAGCTGTGTGCTGTACCTCTTCTCCATTGTAAATCAGTCCTGATCCCACTGTAGGATTAGTTTTTGGCATGCAGTTTTCCCTTATGCAGGTAGCTAGGGATGTGAGCTGGAGTGCTTGCATCAGGATTGGGCAACAGGGTCAAATCTGTCACTCTGCAAAACCCTTTCTTATCTAAAGCAAAGGATTAGAACTTCTGAAATGAGCCACATATAAGAAAACTCGGGGAAAAACTGAAAGAAACTCCTATTTCACACCTGTAGTGTACTGAGGCACTATGGTGTTTGTATACACTCTACTTTTCCTGTTCCGGGCAACCTGAAAGGTGGTCAGGATGCTTTAGTCATGAGTCAATGTACTCCATTGATGGGGAAACCTATGGGGGAGTGAAATGTTAACTCTGAGGTTTCAGCTCTGATAAATCTTAACCTAGCCTCTCTATTCCCATAGATTTACACTGACATCTTCCATATCCCTCCCAGCCCTAGGCCTGCTCTTGCTCCCCTTGCAGTCAGGAGTGGAACTGCACACAGCTCAGTGGCATAGGTGAACTCCAGTTTATAAGGAAACTTCAAAAGAGACAAGCCCAGCCCTACATTATGGCCAGCTAAAGCAGGCAAGTACATGGGAAGCAGCAAGTAGCCTGGTTTGAGGTGAAAGCTGTGTTAGCAACAAAGGCAAATTTGACACCTTTGTAATTAATGAGGCAGCTACTTAGATCAAGCCCCAGTCATTGGGAGGAACCTTGTAAAAGGCAGAGGAATTCAGGGCAAGCTTTAGCCAGCTTTCCCAAGCAGTTTGAGCTGGCCAGTCTGTGGTTCAGGGGCTTGCCAGGTGCCAGAGCTAACAGGCAATCTTGGCCATCAGAAGCCCTGACTACCACCTGTACCTAGGGGAGGATATGTCAGCCCTTTGCTGTTGGGGCATTAATTGTCATGCTCCCACCTCCAGCACCCAAGTGGTGGTGCAGGAGAGCGGTGTTCATCTGGGATGCTGCTGAGAGAACTTGCACTTCAGGCCCAGAAATTCAGTTTTGAGCAAAAATGGCCAGTTTAAAGGATACTCCCTGTGTTTAAAAAAAATGTATGTGCTACCTACTCAGGATGAGTGGAAAGGAAGCAAGGTAGTAAGGGTCAGAAGGAGCTCTGCTAATAAAAAGCATTGCAACAGAAGGCAGTGGGAATATACCTTTTCAGGGAGAAGATTTCAGATTTAAGATTAAGGACAGCTGCAGCACAAGAGAAAAAGCAGGATGAACCAGAAGCTGCAGTGTGATCAGATCAAGTCTTTTCAGCAGAAGTTTTTGAAGATACTTAATTTGCTGTTCTAATTCCATGAGCTGAAAGTATTTGGTTTTTAAAAAAAAAATCATTTTCATTACAGCCAGGCTTCTTTGACAGGAATACAAATATTTTGCAGAACCTCTTTGGTTGAGAAAATGAATTTTTAGTTGTCTCTTCTATTGATAGCAAACGTCTTAGTGGAGTTAAGGGAAATTTATAATTTGCCAGACTTTTTGTTGCAGTAATTTTGCAGTAATTTTGGCATGATCTGCACTTCCCTTGCTTGCATCTGAGAATACTTTTAGACACCCACAGACACAGTGGCTACATGCTGTCCTGAAGACAACTGCCCCCAAAAGAGAGTCCTCCAGAAGGGCGTAACCTGGCCCAGAAAGTCTGTATGAGTTTAGGAATGTGTAAAGGAAATATAGCCCAAATTAAATGGATCTTTTAGGCAAAATCATTCTAAGTGGAGAGGGGACTTAGCTATGTAAGCAGACAAGGTAAAAGCACTGGGGAGAGACAGCAGTGACTATCTGAGCTCTCTTAATCACCTAACCTCATCAGCCGTGCTGTCTTCAGCCTCATCAGCAGGTGAATGGGGGCAAGAGAAAGCCACCGACACTGTTCTTTTTGGCTGCCATCCTCAGCTGCAGGATGGCCCCAATACATGAACACCGGGGCTGTGTCTCAGTCAGCAGGCTTGGACAGTGTGCATCCTGAGAGGGCTTCCCTGGCCCTATGGAGAAGGGAGGTTCATTTTCTAGACACAGATAAGATCACAGATCAGATTCACTCCTCTGTTCTGTGTATACTATTATGCTTCTATGAATTAAGCATGTAGGCAGGGAAAAGGACAACATCCTTCTACTAATAAATACAGAGCAGATAACTGAAAGAATGAACGTGAGAGATTCACTGTCTGAAAAGTTAAGCAGCATACTTGAGGCCTGCAGTATATTTTTAGTTAGCATTATTATTTAAAGTGAGCAGTAGTGAAAAGGCTCCTCGAGTTCTCTGATAGCATATTCATTAGCTAATCAACAGAGCTATTATTTTCTCTGAAGTATGCCCTACTTTGTGGTACTAAAGTGCACACACTGATTTACTGGTAAGGGTAATTAAAGGGCATGTCATAAACACCACTGACATCATGGAATATTGCTCTTTAACCATCTCTCCAGTTAACTCTTCCACATGGAAAAATATATTTTGCAGCTGATCCTCACCTGGTATCAAGTGTTCATTCTCCATCTTCTAGCATCACTGCAGTTTTGTGAACCCATGGCAGCAGAAGATGTAGTTTTACACTTATGGCTTCCCACACCCATCAAGTATATGCATTTGAAAGTGTTTCATACATCAGAATTTGCAAAATCTAATGGAAATCTAATGTATAAGGGGAAGGCCAGGTAGGTTGGAAGATCTATAGCTAAACTAGGCATTCCAAACATATATCTCTATGTAGCTGTACATATGGGCTGCAAAATTTGGAGGATCTTCAGCACTGAAGTCTGAAAATTGGGGGTGCTTTGCATCCAGTGGAGCTGCTGGCTTGTGAATGCTGTAGTGGCATGTGGGTGTGTAAGTGAGCAAGAGAACATCAACCCAGGTGGTTCCTTCTTTTTACTTGCTTTGCCTCCTTCCTTCTTCAGCTCCTTCCCTTTTTTTCTCCCTCTCCCACTCTGTTCCGTCCTATGCATTTTGGTTTGTTTCTTCCCAGCTACAGGTTTTTCTCCTATATATTTTCTGGACAATTGAGGGATTGGAAAAATCTTTAAATCCACAGCAAAGTATACAATCACTTCCTGAATTTTTTTCCACCCTATTTATTAGATTCTTCAATACAAGAAAGTTGTATCTGTCTTTACTGAAGTTCGTGTAGTGATATGATTCCACATAGCAGCAATAAGTAGATCATAAAAATAGAATGGATAATCATCTTTCACTCACACAAATGAAAGAAGGAAAAAAAAAGATATATATAAAAAAGAAATAAAATGCAGAACACTTCATTTCAGAATATGGCAAAATATTTTTAACTGTATATTTTAAGGATATATATTCCTGTTTATCTCAAAGATGACTATTTCCAACACAGATGACTGGCTTTATTTGTAATTTAAAGCAATAACCAAAGTTCTGTTCTGATTATGAATTACTCACTTAAATCAGTATTTGCTCTCTGTTCAGATGAAAATTATCAAACACAATGGGATAAACCTACTTGTACAGCCAGGGTGCTCTCATGTTTTCCCATTACTTTTAAGATGCAAAATGCTCTGTCCTCCCTCCACTGCTGAGACATACAGTGGGGTTTGTTATCTCCATTTTATGGATCAACAGGGATTAGAAAGCCTCTGTAGTTTCCCTAAAATTTCACAGGAGTCATTCATAGAGAAGACATTTACTGAGCACCTTCTAGGTCTCAGATGGTGTCCCAGATGGTGGACTCACCAGTGCCAGGTCACAGGCAATGGTGTGTGACAGCTCATATTACTGACTGTTTGGCATGGTTTTGGTTGAGACCACCTAGCACTTTCCCAACTGCTGCCCATGGTTAGGGAAAAGCAGCTGGGCCAGGGACTGCTCCTGGTTTGGATTGCTGCCCCCCTGCTTTGAAGGGTGAGAGCTTAGCTAGAGGGCACGGGCTATACTTCACAGTACTCCTCCTTTAACTGTTCCCTGGCCCATTTTATTTCCCAGCATAGATACAGCCACTTGGCATGTATTTGTGGCGTGTGTTGGTCTGCTGGCACGGAAGTGACATATTTTAAGACTTGTTGGTGAAGAAAGAAGAGTAAACATGATATGAAATATGGATGAGTCTTATGTGACCCTGAGCCAAGCCCTGCCTCAAGACTGGGGATATGTTTTCATGAAGGCACGTGATTCTCTGCCCATGCAATGTCAGCACAAAGCAGAGATAGGCCCCAACACGTGACTCTTTAGTGACTAGTTTGAATGGAAATGTGTGATTTCTGAACAGATTTATTGTGCAAGCAAAGATGTATTTGCTAAAGATTACAGCAGTGTGTTTGCTCTGAATGCTGAGCCTGGGAAATAAAGACTGCCCTGTGTGACTTACCATAATACAGTGAAATAAGGTCTGTGGTGTCAAATACCTGGTTTAACTTTGTTAGCCCTGTCCCATGGTCTGCAGGGAACTGGAAGCAGAGCAGAGCCGGGGATGCAGAGATCTCTCCATGGCTCAGACTCCAGCTCCTGCATCCCCTATGTATGTGGATGATAGACCTACTAACCACTCATATGTCCTCAATGTCTGTGCCAGGAGTGGAACCTACATGCCCATTGCTTCCAGACCTTTCCAAAACGCTTCTCTGCACCATGTGTAGGGGGACGTTGAGGAGCTCCTTGGCCCACCAGAGCCCCTGGAGTCCTTCCCTCATCTGTCCTGAAGTTTCTTTCTGCCAACTCCCTCTCAGGGTACCAGGGACCCAGGAGCTGCTGCTGCTGAGAACCAGGATTCAACCTGGTCATTATTGCTTCAGATAGCCAATATTATTATCTTTATGGTAGTGGTATCATGTTGTATAACTGCACAGGTTTGGAAGGTTTGTGCAGGAGTTAGGACTAGGATTCTGCTACTATGACTGTTATCCCTGAAATGCAGCAGCTAAGGAGCTGAGTCCCTTCCTCTTCAGAGCTGTTTTGCAAGGTGGGCTTATGAGCATTTCCACTGAGGATAACTCATAGGCCACATTCTGTCTAATGGGCAACCAGCCTTCTTGGTCTGAGACCACGCATGTTCTGGGAGCGTGAACCACATGGGTGGGTGGACAGAGATGTCTCAGGCTTTTTGATGAAGGAAAGTGTGCCATTGGGGGAATTTTCACAAGCCAAAATCCACCCTATTTCTCTTGTCTTTTTTTTTTTTTAAGTTTTAAAGCACTCAAGTGACTGATCTGCAGCATGTAGACCCCAGTTTGGTTTGGAACTGCGATTCAGACACCCTTGCAGACAAAAATTAAAAACTATGATCTTATAGGCATACTCAGGGTCAGTTGATAAAAATAATTCATTTGCCGGTGTGTTGGATCCAGTTACCAGTTCCATCATTCAACTTCCCTGGCAGAAACACTCCTGAGACCTTTTTTTGCTGATACTCTGCCACACTGTTTGGGAAGAGAAACACAGCCAACTGGCAACTTATCTTGGCATTGTCCTTATACAAGGGAAAATGGTAGTTGATTTGGTCTGGAAGTCTGCTAACATTTGCTGCCATGGCATTTTTGCCAGTCTTCATGACGCCAGCGTATGGAGGAATGCTGCAGCACATGTATTTGAGGTGGTTTGTTTAGTGTAAGGGTGTCTGTAAGAGGAGTAGTTTCCTGAAAGGAACAAGTGGAGAGGCTGACCTTGCACTGATTCTGCTGACAGTTCCTGCTTGAAATAAGGTTGTTCTGGTCTAGTGCAACATCACTCACCTCCAGTCAGGGAGTTTCAAACTGTTAGGAGACACAAAAAAGCTATATAAGGAATAACATGTCCACAGGGATCCATCTGTACCAAACATGGGATCTGAGCACATGCAGGCTCTGAAGAAACTCAGCTCCAGACTGAAGGTTGCAGTGGGTTTATAAAAGAAGTCTTTCAGCTCTGCACATCTTCAGCCATCAGATTTCAAATCTAGCTCTGTATCCTAGGTCAAGTTAAAGGCAAGCGAGAAATATCCTGAAATGGAAACAAAATTATCTCTGACGTGTTTTGCAAGGCTAGCAGAAACAGCATCTGCATAGCTGTAACTTAAAAAAAAAAAGAAAATCAAAAAGCATTGTTGAAAACTGTTTTAAGGGGCTGGGCAGATTCAGGTGCAAGGCAGGAGATTGAATGTTTTGCCTCTTTGCTCTCCTCATGCTTTATGCCTTGGAAACCTACCTACATCCCTCCTGTTAATGAACATCTGCTTTTGATTGTCACAAACCCATATATTTCTGTAAAATAAATATACCTGATCTCCACTTGGGGAAACAGGCTATTGTTTCTGCTGTGCCAGGTTCAAACATTGCTTTTAAATCAGATGGACTTTTTTTTTTTTTTTTCACTTCCCTACTAGTTACCTTTAAGTGCTAAATGACTCCATCAGGAATTAGCTTCTGTGTTTGGACTAGCTGCAGGACATGGGCTGAAATGATGCCTTTTCTTTGGTGTCTGATATGTCCTGTGTTGAAGGACTATCTCCTGACTATATTGGCTGTTGGTGTCAGAAAACAAATACATCTTTCCTAAGCTAATTCTCTCTTAGTCCAGATGGACACTGGACTAAATGCAGATGACAACAATAGGGCTAAAAAGCATGGCCTTACCAAGTCCTGTGCATCTCACCTGGTAACACAGAGCTACTGTGTTTACTGGAGCCATGAAAGTTGTTACCCTTGTGGCTGTCTCTCTGTCTGTGTGACCTCAGGCCTGACAAGGGCTCCAGAAACCTGCATGACAACGAAATAAGAAAAAAAGAATAAATGTATGTGCATTGTCACCATGAAAGCTGTACAGGGCAGGAGCTCCTGGTTTCCCAGAGCAGACAGACTTCTACATGTCGTGACATGGTGTTTGCTGCTTTGTGACCTATTGATCTCATCATACAGTATTAAAATCACTGTTTCTACACATGGGAGAATTCAACATCTATTGGTTTCATGTTGATTATTGGACTATATAATCATGAGCATTTTTAGCATGATTATGGTCTTGCCTTATAACAGCACTGAGAGCAGCTGAGATTCCTCATCTTCACCTTTTCAGTCTTGATTTCAACTAGTCTCTGTAACTAGTTGTGAAATAATGGGGGTATGAGTGATTTTCTACTTGAGAGACTAAAAGGTCCAAGATTTAATCCCTCTTATTTATATATTTATTATGTCCTAGCTAGATGGCAAAAAAGCATTTAGCAGTCTAATTTTAGGGAAAGGGGAAACATCCGTGCAAATGTACTGGTTCAGACCAAATATCCTTCTAGCCCAATACTCCATCTATAAAACTGCATACAAAAAACTGGCTACATGCTTGGGAAGCATAGGAACAGGACAATTATGTATGCTTTCTTTTATTTCTCTTACACTCTTTTCAGCTCAGAATGTTTTGGACTTTCCTAGCACCTGCTGTTTGTTTACATATTAGCTTGCAGTGGACCTCTTGTCCAGAGCTTGTCCTGTTCCTCCCTGAGCCCATGTAAATCATGTGCATCCACAGTGTTGTTTGACAAGAAACTACACAAGTCTAGCACCTGCTGCAAGAACAACCTCTGCCTTTGGCTTGCCATGAACTCTGATGCTATTAGCTTCATTTGATAGTTTCTAGGTCAACTTTTGAAGATACTCTGGACAGCTGATCCTTGTCAACACCCTTCTGATAAATGACTGTCTCTAATACCTCAAAACCTGGATCCCTCAAGAGCATGCGGTCCACATGCTGAGGAAGGGCTCTGTGGGCACTTGGTACATGCAAATGCAGACTGGGGTTGAGTTTGTTTGGTGTCATGATGACATATAGAGATACATATGGCCCGGGATAGGGTCAAAACATCTTGGACACAAGCGAGTGGCAAGAAAAAAAAAGCAGACTATTTTTATTCAGGCTTCATTTATGATCAGGATGAAAAAGTGTGTAATTTCTTTTTTCCCCCCCCTTCTCAAGCATCCACCATTTTGCACCACAATTCATGCAGCTGAAGAATACAGGGACTGTGCAGTGGGCAGTGAGGGAACACTGCCATTACTTACTATCACAGGAACCGAGAATATTACCT